GAAATATAAAAACATGCTATGATTTCGTCGGACTTCTAGAATAGCCGGCCAAAAAATTGCGCGTATTTAAGAAAATTCGACCTAACAATGTACATGGAGCAGTCTCAAAAATAAAGGAAATTCACGGGGCAAACTTATCTTTGACGAGTCATTTGAGTCCTTAAAAGCCTTTTCACGACTTGCAATAAGATAAAAAAACATCTTTATCTTCAACTAGGAAAACAGAGCTGCCGAAAGCTATCACTCCATGTCCATGTCCATGTCCATGTCGATAAATCACAAGTTTTCAAGTAATCGTCTACGATTGAAAATTTGACCGGAACAGGTAGTAAATCAACCAGGTAGAATAGTTCCAAAGACTACAGAGTGTACGAGACTTTGTTGTTTTTTTCCTGCAATTCGTCCCCGCACCAGAAAGTGCACGGGTGTGTTTTCCATCAATTAATTTTTTGTCACGCAACCTTATGCAGTCCCAAACATCACCTCAAAGAAGAAGGACTTATGTTTTACTCGGTGCCCTTTTTCGGTCCTAGCGTTTCAGAAAACTCAAGTAGATGTAAATCTTTTCAAGTCTTCTTCATTTTCTCACCTCGTCCAAGTGTTCCTTCCTAAAGGTCTACCACGCATAATCCAGAATCCAAATAATCCAAACCGTCACAAATGTCATTGACAAAGTTGTGGAATTTCAATTAATCGAAAGGATTGTTTGAAACTTGCATTGCGTAATTTTACTCTTTCATGAATGAGCAATCTTCGACCATTTGTGATAGTTTCTTAATCAAGTTGATTTGGTGTCTCTTGATGTTGGATGGGATTTCAAAATGCTTACACATTTCCTTGAGCATCTTAACCTTGAGAAATGAAAGTTTGTTTTCAAATGCCATTTCGCAAAGGTTGTAGACATCATACATCACTGTATGCTTGAAACCAATTTCAAACTGTACGGCTACACTGGCTTTCTCGAGCATTTGTTCATCAGTTAGCGAGGAATACTCTTCAGCTAGCTCTTCAGGCTCGGCGTCATCGCTTGAGGTTTCCTTGCCATTTGATTGTTTTCTCTCTCGAGAGTCGCAAAAAAAATCCCTGGATTTGAAGCTTTGAAAGCCATTCCACTCTATTAAACATTCGTGTGCCATCGGTGTCGCGAGTATTGCGCATATTGTTAGCTACTTGTACAGGATCTTTCTTCCTTCCAGTTTTTTACCAAATCCATCTGGTTTACTTGTTTTCGTTGTTTTTTTTTTCTTTGTTGTTTTTTTTTTCGAAAAATATCTTATTTCCGACGATTCTATGCGAACTTATACTTTATGAAAGAGTGACCTTTCCATAAATAAGTTCTCGTGGCGAAATTTTATTAGATTTAAGGTTACGTTTTCGCATTAAAAAGGACTGCACTTTAAGCGCTGTTAAGATGAAAAGTTTTTAAATGAACAATATGAATATTCTGAATAAACATTAATCTTGTCATAGCTATCCTGGCCTCTGAAGTTTTTTCCCCCTTCTCATTATTGACTGATAAACAAAACAGTAGGACGCCGAAAGCTGAGTGACAGCTTACGGCGGCTCTGTTTTTGTAAATAAAGATAAGAATTTTCTTTACTTAATGTTATGGACTCGACTTATCGACTCAAATCACGCGTCAATCTTAAGTTGGTCGCATAAATTTCGTTTATTTTTGGGACCGCTCCATGTGCTTTGTCAAGTCCAATTTTCGAAAATGCGTGCCACTTGTTGGCCGGCTATTCTAGAAATATGCGATACAAAACAAAACCCTCAAACTAGAATTTTGTGAAAAGAAGAGCTCGGCAGTTTGTGCTATTTTTGATAAATTATTTTGCTGTATTTGAAAAAAACCAAGGTGGTTCCGATTACTTTCAGACTAAAATAAATTCCTGGGCGAAGTTCGAAAGAAATGTATTTTTCGACCCGAAACGGACCGGACCCCTTCTAGGAAGACTGCGTCCTAAAGGTGCACAATTCTCCCGCATTGTGACTTTTTCTACCAATGAAATTCGCTTGTGGCTTGGTCCCGACCCAATTGCGGGTTAATTCCTTGTAAAACAACCTGCATTTCATCGCGTATTTCAAAGTTCAGATGGGCAACAACCAATCATGGAGCCCTCTTTGAATTGTTATCCTTTTCTCTTGTTCAGTGTATATTCACTCATTCGAGATCGCTATATATATTTTTTTAGCAAGGCTCTATTAGAGGTATAACAGAATCTCGGTTTGCTTTTTGTAATAAAATTACGCGGAATTATATTTTTGAAGCTACAAACCGTAGTCGAATAAATTTGATTTTCTCTCTGTTAGAGGAACGGCAGTACGTGTAGTCTTTTTCGCAACCGTTATTTGGTTCTAATAAGATATTTGAAAGGAAAGGAACAATTTGAAACCAAAGCGCGTAATTAGTCATGAAATCACGCGGAATTTGAATAGTTATTACTACAATAGTAGCAGAGCACTACACGCGACCTTACCTGTTAACGTGTGTTTCTCGCAAAGAACTTGGAATAAGAAGCAAATCACGCAACAGTTTCACTGTACCACGTGAAGTCAACCTTCAAACTTCAGATGTGTTAGGCAAGTCAATACAATCTGTTATCAGTTACATCCGGTTGAGTCGCTTTTATGTTTTACCCAGTTGCTGTACTGTTTGCAATGAGTGAAGGACCTTCATACAGCGGGGCCTGCCAAAAAATCAAGAGATAACCGATATATATATATTTATATATATTGCTGTCAATTTTTTTTCCTCACAAAAGCCCATGAGTTGGCGACATGCCCTTTTTTATCATTCGCCGATCACGTGAACGAACTGACCTGCTAGATAGCTTGAGGTCTCTGCCAAAAAGCTTTTTTTGGCAAATAATTGATGGTATAAGCGGGGATGATAGCCTGGAATATTACAATTGAAAGAATCAGGAATGAGGCAGAAGTGGATAGGCTGTAGACCAATAAGAGATTAAGCCGAGCGGAGCGAAAAATACCAGTTTGAAGAAAGTAAAAAATTCAATTAAACATAAAGAACCGCGTAAATGAAATATTAATCGACTGACCTGTGAAAGCAAGGAATTATCAGAATAGAGACATCATCTCACCTAAAATTGACGGGTGCAAAGAATGTCCATAATATTCAAGAAGAAAATCTAACTAAGCGTGCGCACGCTCCAAAACGTCGACATCTAAAAGTCACAAGCAGAAGCAACTGCTTTCTGGTCACATGAGAAAACACATACCTTGCAAGTGTTATCTTTATTAAAGGCCTTTCTGAAAAGGTGAGAAGTTTTATGAAACTTGTACGCGCGAATGCTCAAATTTCATAGGAACTCTCTACAGCAGGCAGACAACAAGCGACAAAACAGCTGAAGCAGAATTTGTATGCCAGGCTTGCAGACTCATTGCTTTAGGAAGCCTCTTGTGTGCCTATCAAATACTGATCCATTCGGAAACTTTTCTTTCAGCTTAATGGTGGTCACCAAACTAAGAAAAGAAACAAAGTTCTGGGTTTGTCTTACCTTATCAACGAGCATCCTCCATGGTATATCTGCCTCTTGCTGGGTTTCCAGGTATTAACAATTGGCCTTAAAGAATTTTGTGTTTTTTTATTTATTTTATGCGATTTAAGAGACAAAGTCAGCATCCATCGAACAAATTTGAAATATTGTGGCAAGTCGCCCAAAATTCGT